CCCAAGGCAACTCAGCCTGGGTGCTTCGCCGCGCGACAGCATACCCGCTGGGGCTGGCCTTCCGGATGCATGCGACCAAAACCTGCCGGCCCAAGGCAAATCAGCCTGGGTGCTTCGCTGCGCGACAGCATACCCGCTGGGCTGGCCTTCCGGATGCTTGCAACTAAACCTAACGTCCTAAGGCGCCTCAGCCTGGGCGCTTCGCTGCGCGAAAGCATGCCCCCTGGGCTGGCCTTCCGGATAGAATGCAGCTCCACACGGTAGCTCGGCCCTTCGCGAGACCTCCTTCGGATGAACCGCATCGGCCCCCTCCGGGTAACTAGTTGGTCCGCCATTCTGACGTCCTCCTTCGTCTCGCTGTTGAATGATGTCCTCCAAGCCTTCTTGGACTCCGCCGCGCGATTCCTCGCGCTCTGCCATCACTTCGCTGTTACTGGCGACCGATATGCCAGCAACGTCGGATCGCCTTATCTACTTTCCTATTGAGCTGGGTCACGAATACAAAGTAAATCCCTATTTAAACAATTCAAACTCCCCAACAGACGACGTTCTGACTTGCGCTTGCTTGCATGGTTGACTGGCGAACTTGCGTTGTCTGGATTCAGCGCTTTGTTCCCAGCTAAACTTTGTAACGAACTACCGTATCAGTCCCTGTCCTCTGGCCCATTCTGGTCTGCGCCTTCCCGCGCCGCACTTGCCGTACTGCACTACAGGACGAGCACTTAATCAACATGCAACCCTTCTGCCGCGAAAATCAGGAAGGAGGCAAGTGTTCAAAGTGTACAAACACTGCACATGCTATCCGCAAATGGCCGGCCCTTGATGATGGCTATGCTTTTAAGGGATAATGGCGGTACAAAGGCTGCATAATTCACTGTAGTTTTTGCCCGCTGATGTCTTTGGAGATTTGTCCTTCGACATTTAAATAGGATACGTCAGAATCAATTGTTGTGCGCGGTGCGATTTAGCCCCTCTAAGCTAGCGGGAGAAATCGCAAATCATGTGACGTCATCATGTTTCCAGACGAGGCGGAGGATGGCATTGCATTTGCAAGAATCCAATTCTGTTATCTGTTATGTTACAAGCTCACGAGAGTTTGTAAGCCCCGTCTGCAGACGAGCCAGGAAGCTCACGGACCGCGAGTTCTAACGTAGTCAAAAAAGAAGAAGAAGAAGAAGCAATAAAGGAAAAAGAACAAAGGGTTTATGAACCCCATATGCAAGAGAAAAAAGTGATTAGAGTAAGCGACCTCAGGCTTACTCCTCGGCTATCAGCGTGCGTCGCCTCATTAAGCTGTCGTGTACGATCTGCGCAAGTCCGCGCTGATCATCTATCCCATGATCATCTATCTCCACGATAGATCTCATGCTAGGCACGTACTCGATATCAGCCTGGCGTGCACCTAGGGGTTGAGGAGCCCTTCCCTTAGCTCGTTATACGCCGGGCAACACGTGAAACTCATCTTCTACTGCTGCATTAGTACCCTACACCAGCGCTCTTGGCGCGACCGGCCGCCGGGTCGGCTAACGTTCAAAGGCCACGCCCCTAAGCGAAACCGCAGCAGTGACAAGTATGACTTTGCAGAGATGTAGCACGTCGTGTGTTTCGGCGTTCCTATCCAATGGGGATGCCGGCACATCTTAACCCCCTGGTTTACAGTTGTACGACACGATTCCCGGGGTGTAGTGATAAGACGCGAGTTCTGACAGTCATCATCAAATCGCTCCTTTGACGCTTCCATGACAGATCTAACATTAATTGGGTTCGACGAAATGAAATTGACCTTCCAAGTCATCCGGGTGCAGCTCCGGGAGGTGCCCTAAGCACTTGAGACCCCTCAGGATCATGGCACCCCAGTTGTGCCAGTGGCAGTCTAATCAGAACGCACAGCAAGAAAGACGTATCTCCTGACCCAAAACGTTTAAAAACACAATCCCCTTCGCAAGGATAACCCTGTTCCGAAAACTGTAAATAGGTGCAGGCCCCATGAGTGCGGAGGGGCCATCCACCAAGGTCCTCCCTAAATCAGAGAGACTGGCTCCGTACGACGGAGTGGATCTAATTTGCGGAGTGGTATCTTAGGCAGAAACAGTTCCCTCCTACGCAACTTGGCTATCAGGGCATGTGTGGCTCGCTGGCCCGCGCCAAATAGCTCATTAGTGCAGGATTCGAACGGGGCATCCAGCCCGTAATGAAGCCCTGAATACCTAGCGCTACCAACCCACGGCATCTCTCCGAATTGCACAGTGTTTCGCACTGCTCGCTGCGCACCAACCTTCACAAAGCTCCCAGTTAACGCACGCAGAGTTCAATTGGGGTAAACGTAGACAGCCTCACGCTTAAGGATTTGAACGGTCTTGCCAAATGCTGTGCACCACTCTGTGAGGGCCTTAAGAATGCGCATTAGGCGCCGGTGATTGTGAGCAAGCAGGTTCAGGACATCTGCGTGCAGCTTTAGGGGAACACGCGCCCCATAAAAAACAACGGGGCACCCATCGGTACACATAGCTAGAACGAAAGAACCAAATTCCTCAATCCCACTCTCACTCAAAGGTACGAGCAGCTGCCCCTAGGGGGCCGGGCACAGAACTACATAATTACAACCTCCATCTGTGTCTAGCTTTAATTCCAACCGAAACTGTCGAACATATTAGTCTGTTTAAAAGCACGCAGAGACATACTGGTATGCGTTTACGAGCGGTACCGACCCTGCAGCATGCTTACGACAACCTTCATGCAAAGTGCTCGCGCAACATGATAATTAAACACGGAGAAAATACAAAACATGTGGGAGGTGTTACCGTCGGTTCAGCGCGGACTTCATGATTTCGTAATACCAGCCTGGGCCCGGTAGTGCGAGGCGATCACGCTGTCCATGTACAAAAAAAAGAAGTAGATTAAGTCTACCGGAGCATGATGGCGAACTTTACTGACGCCAAGCTGTTACCGTAATGTACTGTCCGTATTTCACTGCCTGACGGCGTGCGCAGATACGTCTTGCCTAAGCGACCTGAAGGTGCAAAAAGTCTATGAAATCCTGCCACCTCAAAAGTTTTTTCTATTGAAGAATTTATGTTTCAAAACCTTCCTATGAGTATTGTCGTCAGCTGGTGCCTACCTTCATGGTCTGACGACCAAATTGCGAAGACTTTTCAGTGTAAGTGTACGGATTTGCCCGTGTGGCAAAATGATGTTAGTATTTGTTATTTTTGTCGTCAAAATTAATTCTTTCCTGATGCCGGTCCAATTCTCTATGCTGCGTGTGCAGCAGGGACTACCTGCTTGGTGTATAACTAATGGCCATAATGGACGCCTCACTTATCAACTACCGTCCTAGCTGCGGAATGACAAATCTTGGAAGAAAGCCAGGCATTTGATAATGTTTATTCCCTACCCACGGCGTTGCCAACTGTGAAGCTTGTCTGAACCGCTCCAGCTATACTTTACTTTTTAAAAAGGATCGCTTACTTTCAGGCAACAAAAGAGTGTTCAGGTCCCTCCTCCCAGGTGGAAGGACTGGACTGCCTTGCTGCAAATGCTTGCCTGCCATGGCCATTCGTCGGGACATACAGCCATCCAAGAAGCAAGCGCGCCAATGTATTCCGAAATTCCAAGCAACTCTATTGAGGAGCCCTACCAGCTGTATAGCCTTGACAGCAAGCCGGCTGGAACCCACCGCAGCCGACCTCAGGCACAGAATCCCTACCTTGCTGTGATGGGTTGCGACGGCTGCCTGGAATCATTACCTGTCACGAATGGACAACACCTGAGAAGATCGTGCAGCGGTAACATGTGCGGTGTTGACCAGATTACGAGGGCCCCGAATTTTACCGCGCTCGACCAACAGCCGAGTCCGCACTTTCCATCGCAGCCCACTGTCGATATCCCGGCCATCGCCTGCTCCGGCTTCCGGTCCTCCATCGAGAGTGCGCCGCCGGCGCCTCATCCAATTCCTCCTGAGCTCCAATCCTCCCTGCTTGCATCTCCTGGCCTTGTCACGAGTGTACGGCATCACCCGGCCGCAGCAGAGCTCCTCCATCCTGACTGCAGGATGGCGGCACCACCGCCGGCTGCGGCGGTTGGCGGCGTCCAGGATAGCCACTGGTTTTCCTTGTACGACATTCCCGGTGGCGACGGCGGTGAACTCCTTCCCCCAAAGCCTCCAGCGCAGCCACGAGGTCCTATGTCGCCGGCGCAGCCGGCTCCTGATGCCGTACAATCTTCTGCCATGCGGGCTCCTGGCGCTCCGTTAGATTCGCACTGGACGAGCTCAAGCTGGGCCCAGAGCGCCCAGCCTCTGCCGCCGCCACGCCTATCTTGGCCGCCTGGGCGAGATGCCTCGTTCATGTTCACTGTCAGGACCAGGCGTCATCACCAGCACGGGCAGCACGCGTGCTCGTCCAGCTGGGACAGTGGCGGCGGCGGGGACAGAGTCGTCGGCCATGATGATGATAGCGGTCCGCGCCTGAAGCTGAACCTGTCTGGTGCGGTCAGCCATCCGGGCCTTACAAGCGCGCGAGAGGCGACGTTGCCACATCTGGAGATGCCCTGCACGGACGCCGGTAATGGTGGTGGCGGCGGCGGCGGCGGCGGCGGTGGTAGCGTGGCGGAGTTCGCCGAGGCTGACGTCGGCAGCGGCGGAGAGCACACCAGCATTCGCAACGCGGATGACAGCGATAGCGGTGGCGGCAGCGGCCGGCGTGCATTGCTGCCGCGCTTGACAGACATATGGACCAGGACCGCCGCCGCAGCCGCTGTCACGTCCACTGCCATGCCTGCTGTTGGCCATTCCACGCCCGCTGCGGAACCCAAAGCTCATCCTGATGCACCGGCTGCAGCGTACCCTGGTGCTCATGGGCAGATGCCGAACAAGGAAGACGACGTGGTCGATGACGAAGGCGGTGAGAGGAACGCTCAACGCAAACATCACAGCGCCGCCGCACGGGCCGACGCCGGCACCGCTCTTGCCGATGCCCCCCAAGTCACCCCCCTCTTCTCCGATGCTGTCGTACATTCTTCGGATTCCCCAGCTCCCTCAGTCTCTGCCGTGAGAACAATTGCCCAAGGTGAGGACACGGAAGCTGCGCACAAGGCAGGGGGCGGAGGCGGGCGGGAAGACGCTAAACCGACATCTGGCACCACTGCCAGCCTTGGCCCAGCCATTGCAACCGCCCCAGCGGCCCCGGCAACGGCCGGTGGTGTGGTTACTGGCCAGGGCCTGGTTCGTGACCCAGCAGAACCATACAAGGTGTGCGCGGCGGCGGCGGCGGCGGCGGTATCAACTGCAGCGGCGGGGCCGACCCATGGGTCGCTGCCCCAGCCGGTTCCGGTTCAAGTGGCATCCAGGAGGAAACGGCGGCTTGAGGGGCCCGGGGGCGGCCGGGCCGGCCGAGGGGCCAAGGATGGAGTCACCCGCGGCGCTGTGGGTTTGTTCCACCCCCAGCTCTACCTGAGCGGTGGCAACTGCATCGAATGCGGAAACGAGATGATGAGCCGCGGAAAGTATGTACGGATATATGTACGGAATGTGTACGGGAAAGGGCTGCATCGGCGTTCGGACGAGTAGACTTATTGGATGTGCCGGGCATGCCCGGAAAGCGCCATCACCGAGCCGCACGATCTTGCCTACCCGCATGTCTGTCTGTCTGTCTGCCGGTCTGTCCGTCTGTCTGTGACGCCCTCCCGAACCACTGATGTGTCCTGCGCCCTCTTCGGTTGCCTCCTCCCCTTTCCCCCCTTCCCAGCTCACTCCTCTCCCCCGTCCCCCCACCCCCACCTCAACTGCCCCCTCCGGCACACACACCCCGCGCACACGCTCAGGTTCGAGCGGCTGGCCGGCACTGCCACCGCCAAGTGGCACGTCAGCATCAAGGTGCTCCCCTCGGGCGTCACCCTGGGCAAGTGGCTGCAGCAACACGGACTGCCAATACTACAGGTGGGGGGGGAGGAGGTGGAGGAGGAGGGGGGAGGGTGAAGGGAGGAAAGTTCGACGGCGAGATCCATCAAGCGGCGGCCATGATAACTGGGAATGTGGTTCGCATGCTGGGTGTTCCCACTCCACCACTGCTAGGCGCACTATAAATTAAGTTGCCATGTTACATTTGTATATATAAGTGTGTTTTCACAAGTGTTTGCGAAACACTAGAAGAGATGCACCGCGCCGAGGGCATTAGGTGACTCGAGCCCGTCTCTGTACTCTGCAGGGTCGTCCGCGCAAACGGCCACCTTTGGAGCATGTCGAGGTAGCTGCCGAGAATTCAGAAGCGGACGGCACTGACGAAGATCTCAGCGGCAGCCTGACCTCCGTACCTTCAGCAACCCACCTAAACACCGCACCTTCGCCCCCCGCCGACCCCGAAGACCCCCCTGGCTCCAATAGAGCGATGCAGGAGTTCATACTGCAGGAGAAGGGGCAGGGGGCGCAGGCCGTCCACGAGGCAGGGGAGGGCTTTGGGCTGCAGCTGCGTGCGAGTTGTGTTGATATCCGCCGTCCTTCCCGCGCAATGGCCAATTTGGGGAAGCAGTCCCCGCAGCAGCAGCAGCAGCAACAGGAGGAGCAGCAGCAACAGGAGCAGCAGCAACAAGAGGAAATGGGACAGATGCGATCGCGGCGGCGACCCAGACGAGCTACATTGGCACAGGAAGCGAATCAGCAGCACCAAAAGCAGCAGCTTTCCCAGCCGCAGCAGCAGCATGAAGATCAATACGAGCATTACCAGCAACAACCACAGCAGCAACAACCGCAACGGCAACAGCCACAACAGCAACGACCACAACAGCAGCAGGTGCGGTTTCACAGCCAGTCAGCGCTCGCCAACGAGGTATCTGGCGGCGGCGGCGGCAGCGGCGGCGGCGGTTGCGGCGGCAGCGGCGGCGGCGGCGGCGGCAGTAACGTAGCATCCTTGGATCCCGCCAATGTCGCATCATCGAACTCAGGCGTCGCCCCAGCTGTTGACGCCGGGCAAATCAGGGCCGACCCTGCTAGGCTGAATATGTACGGCAGTGGTGGCGAAGGTAGTTGCAATCGTTACATGCTTTCGTGGCCCAATTTACTCGGCACTCCGAGGAGCCGAGCAGCTTTAGCTACAGCTACAGCTACAGCTACAGGAGCATCAGGGAAAGGATTGCCACAGCTGGCAGGCGCAGTGGCGCCATCAGTCCTCCAACCAACCTTCGATACCGGGCCTCAAGGCCTGAGTGGCTTGACCGAAGAGCCACAGAGCTTGCAGGCTGGGCCAGGGCGAAGCGCCCTCGGGATCACCCCGTACATCAGCGGTGGGGACGGGGGCTGTGTTCCCCTCGGCCCTATGGATCTGAATTGGAACTCGGGGAGAGCCGTTGGCGGACCCGTGCAAGCGGAGGGCGATTCGCTGCCGCGACCCTTTCAGGTGCGGATGCCGCCGCCAGCACTATCCTCGCCCACACAGCCGCTGCCGCAGCTGCAGCTGCAGCTACTTCAGCGCCCTGAAGACTCGGCGTTAGCGCGGCCCGCGTACGCCGCTCCACAGCACTCCGCTGAAACCCCTTACACGAGAACCGAACTCTGGAACAAAGCGACAGCGGGGGCCCATCCTGCGGCGCACTTCCTACCTGACGCCGACTACGGCGCCAGCCCGGATAGTCGTGCTTCAAGCAGCAGCGATAAAACCCCCGCGCGTATGGAGAGTGTCACCGTCACCACCGCCACAACTGCTATAACTGCTACAACCGCCGCCGTCGTAAATGGCGGGAGCTTCTGGCTCGGCGAAGCCAGTGGCAGCGGTGGAGACGGCGGCGGCGGAGGTTACGCTGACAGGACAGCGGCCACCGCTAGCGCCCACGACGCGCCCACAAGCGCGTATCTGCTCTTTGACCGCGGAAGGGGTGGGAGTAGCCGTTCCAATGTGCCGTACAGCTCCAGAGACCTTCCTGAGAATCTGTACGAGCAGTTTGACCTTGCAAGCAGCGCCAGTGAAAGTGCCGCCGCCCCGCAGATGTTTACCCTGATGCGCACCGACAACCGCGCCAGTAACCCCGTCTTCAACGCCAGCGCGCGAGTTAACACCAACACCAACACCAACACCAACAGCGCCGCCGGCAGCCGTGGTCTCACTTCCCCTGGGTCCAGTCGACTGCTCCTTACGAGCTTTTCCTCCGGCACCTTGACTTGGCCAGGGGGCCTTACCTGTTCCGCAGCGCCGACCCCGGCGGCGACGCAAGGGGGTAGCGTGAGCGCGCATCGGGCCCAATGGGGTGATGAGTCTTGTGCTCCGGAACCAGGCATTTTAAAAAGCGCCCCAGCCCACCCTGGAGCAGCGGACGAGGGCACAGCGACCTGGAGCACCGGCGCTGCGTTCATGAGAACGCAGGCCAATCATATGCCGTACCATAGCCGTGCAGAGGAAGCCTGGGGCAGGCGGTGTTTGGAGGGTCTTGGTCACCACGAGCGGACGGAAGCCGCAGCAACGGCGGCAGAGGGGCTGCCGGGGGCGTGGCCGCGTAGCGAGCCCGGCGGCTGGGCAGCGGCGCCGCCACCCCCGCCGCAGCTGCCGCCGCCGGTGCCTTACCAGAGTTCTGTACCGCAGTCAACAGCACGCTGCTTTACCGACCTGCCGCCGCGGCTTCTGCAGCTGTCACAGGAATCGCCGACGCGGATGGCGACTGCGGTACAGCACCTACCCGCCCAACCAACATTTCCAGCGGATTCCCGGTTTGAGCATTCACAGGGGCAGCAGCAGCAGCAGCAACAGCATTACCTGCAGCAGGAGGAGGAGCTGCTGTTGCAGCAGCAGCAGCAGCAGTCACATGCTGTGTTAGGTGCTCTTCCTCCTCAGCGACCGGCAATGTACAGAAGGGCATCCGTTGACCCACGGGTCATTCCAACAAGGGACCTTGTAGATCAATCGGCAGCTCTGTCGAAGCGCCCCCGGTTGCCGCATCCAGCCTCCTGGGCGGCATCTCACCTCCCTTGGAGCCCAGGCCCCGTCGGCCCCATCCAGCAGCATCAACAGCGCCTTGAGCAGCAAACCCAGCTGCAACGGCTGCAGCCACAGCAAATGCCGCCACACCAGCAGCAGCTGCAGCTGCAGCTGCCGACGCGGCAGCAGCAGCAGCAGCAGCAAATGTATCTGCAGCACCAGTCGCCGCTACAGCTGCAGCTAGATTTACAGCTGGAGACACGGCAGCAGCAACAAGAACAAGAACAACAGCAACAGCAACAGTCGCTGCTGCTCCAGTTGCATCAGGCGTCCCTCTGGCAGCAGCAGCAGCAGCAGCAGCAGCAGCAGCGCTCTTTGAGGCAAGACACGCTGCATCAGGTGCCGCAGTGATGGTCAGGAGCAACAAGTACAATAGCAGCAGAAGCAGAAGCAGCAGAAGCAGCAGAAGGAGCTGTGGGAGAGGGGGACAGGGGCCTGAAATGCTTACTGGCCCAAGTCGCTCAATTTCATACCAGAGACGAGGGGCCTCGAGGGCAAAGACGAAAGAGGGACCTCCAGGGAAAGCTGTAGCGGTCATACCCACAGGGGTTCAACACGCCACACTGCTGCACAAGCAGACGAACACACGTAGCTACGTGAGGAACTGCCCAAGTGTGTGGCGCACAGCGAAGTGCTGCGATGCGTTACGTGTGCGGTAGAGTATCGTACGTATGTATACATATGCTATAGCGCATAAAGACTCCAAGCTCAATGTCTTACGGCAGGCAAATCTCCCCTCTACTCTACTTTCTTTGCCCGTTGCCTTAATTTTAAGTGCACTATCTTGCGCGGCGCCGAACGGAACCAAGTGTCTGGAACGATCTAGCGCAGCATTATATGCCATTGCTGTGCCCCGCTTTGTGTTTGTTTGTGTGTGTGTGTGTGTGTGTGTTTGTGTGTGTGTGTGTGTTTGTGGGGGGAGAAGGTTGTGGGAAGCGGTATGACAAAAGGGGTGCGGGTTAAGGGGCGCCATTAATAGCCGGAAGCTCGTCGGTGGGTGGAGGCCTCGTACCTCTTACCTGTTCACTGGCCGTCAGGCTGGGGAGCGTCCAGGCTCTACCTGATCAGCAGCGGTCAAGCTGGGAAAATCGCTCCGGATGGGGGCCACGATATCCTGGAATGTCCTGTTTGGAGTTCTACGGGCCGTCTACGGGAACGGGAGCGACTGGGGCAACGGAAACTGAAAAAATGAGACCTGCTAGGAGGACGATGAAGACATAACAGCTGCTTAATAACTTGCTTACCACCACGTACAATGTCAAAGTGAATGAGACGCAATGGGAGATTTACACTGGCCGTGCTTAGCTCCCGGGGAAGTGCCCCCAACAGGGCCGTACAACAGGGCCGTACAGGGCCGTGCAACACGTTCGAAGAAGTCCTACTATGCATGTGGCTGTAGCTGTGTGAGGCTGCAGCTGTATGTGCAGGGTGTGTATGTGTATGTGTGTGTGTGTTGGGATTATTCTTATCATGCATGTGTGGATGGCGGCTGCGCTCAGGCTGACACCCTCGTCTGTAGAGAGGGGGCCCTGTGCGTGTCATGGAAATAGGTCTTGAAGACTGCTCGGTGTGCGGGTTGACTGGGTAGCATAGAAGTGGGTTGGGGTGAAGTGATGGATGTAACTTTGATTTGACCTGGTTGCCGTAGTGGGCCGCCGTCGTTAAATTAATGATGCGCGCGGGGCGGGGGTTGGGGCTGGGGGCAGCATTCAGGGCTGGGGGCAGGATTTGTTAGGTTTTGTGTTGTGCTAGGAGGACGTAGGTTGAGGTGTAGGCGTAGTAGCGTGCCGGACACTCCGGCTTGGGGCAGCAATACGGCACATGTAGACAGGAGGATATGCAGTACCAATTCGCTTGGTTGGTCTGTTTATTGATCGTTGAATACGTCGTTAAGTAGGTATGTAGGTATGTAGATAGGTAGGTAGGTAGGTAGGCAAGCAGGAGAGGCGGGCGAAAGCAAGTGGAAGAATGGCCGACATGGGACGTGTGTTTACCCACCTACCGCGGGTCGTAAGGGTTTGTGGCACAGCGGCACAGCGGCGTACAGATGCACCGGCTGAATACATGAAACGAACGAGATGCGTGTGTCTGTTGGAATAGTGATCAGCTGATACACGGAGCTAAATGGCCCCCAGAGAGTTGGAGACGCAGAGGTAGGCGGCATCCCTTGGGTTGGTCGAAAACCTAGATCTGTCTTGCTCGCCTCGACCGCTCCCATCAGCCGGCCTCGGCAGCCAGGTGAGGCACCAGGTGCGAAAGCCCCGCACCTAGAGATTTTTCAGTATTTGTGATTTATGCATAAATAAATATATATATATTTATATATATATATATGTGTGGGTCGCGTGCATGGACATTTTCTCCCGTGGCGCGGCTCTTCTTCATCCGGGGAAAATATTATCCGGCACAAGAAAATGCATACTACTTAGCGGTGATCTCCGAGCGCGCAGGGGATTTTGATGGTGTACGCGCGGAATGCCTGGCTTACGCTTAGGACGTGTGTGTGTGTGCGTGTGTATGTGTGTGTGTATGTGATGATGACCTGTTGCGGTCTTTATGCAGATAGGACAGCTGGCGGGTGAGCAAGTAAGAGGTGCACCGGGTACCTGCCATCAGGAAGCGGATGAAGATCCCGCGCGATGATGAACCTGTTTTTGTAGGCGTCCTGAGGGAAAAGAAGCTGCCAGTCATTGGGGAGTTGAACGCCTCCACAACGTTAAGGGCGAAACGATGGAACAGACAAAACTGCGGCGTGTGCAGGGTTTTGGGTTCATCTAGGATGATGTTATGGTCTGCAAACTTCAGAGATTTTACAGAGTTCCGTCTGCTACAGCAGCTAACCACCAAGAGGCTGATAGACTGGTGTCTTGTCGTGCATATGTCTATTCTGCGAAGAGAGGTTTTACGAGGTTTTACGAGGCAGTTGTTGAAGTCATCCTGGAACTGGGGAGGAGTTGAGAGTAAGCAGCAGTGGTGGGGATGTGGATTTTTGAAGGTCTTGCGTGGTGGATGTGATGTAGGTTTCTTTTTCCATGCCCCATGGTTCTTGTGCTGCTGCTGTCGGGGCAGCAGCCTCCTAAGGCGAACCCGGATGTCCTGAACAGGCAACGCACCTAATTAGGCGCTGCTGCGAAGTGGCCCTTCGGAGTAGAGCGCGCGCGCCCCTCAAAAAGAGTCGTCGGCCACATAACATTTATGGCCATGGCTTTGCACGCGATGCACCCCGCCCTGGGGTATTATTATCCAGGGCAGCTCATACAGTGTACGGACGATGTACGGATTGGTGCCACCAGCGCTGGCGGAAGGTTGAGCTTGGCGGTTCTAAGATGCGCTGCGTTCGACTCTATTACATGTGGCTGCACAGCCCCCTTCATCTTTACCTAGAGATGCGGCCCTTCTAGGGGGCCCGCAAGGAGATAGCAAGCTAGCTGAATACGGTCCATCGGAAGAAATATACCTTATATGTTTTTGCCCGGCTCGTCTCAAGTTTAGCTCGTCAGCCAACATGTTTGCTGGAAAATTCCCTGGGTGGCATTTATCCTAAGTAACATGTGTGTATGTGTGTGTATGTGTATGTATGTAACTTGATGCAGTTAGATAGTCTGTAGCTTTAAGTGGTCCCAGGTTCCAATCCTCTATAGCGTGTCCGTCGATGAATTGGCAGTGGAGCGTGTTTTGCAAGCGGCAGAAATGCCGTACATTGTACAAGCGGTACTGATCAGCTGGTAACGCTGACACAGGTGCTCATATCCGTGTGTGCATGTGCGTGTGATTTTTTCTGTTTGCCGTGTGCGTCGTGTTGAAGGAATGCCAGTATTGAGAACGTATTGTAGGCCCAATAGCCGTGCGGCGCTCTAGGGGCGCACTTGTATGTATGTATGTTTGTCTATGTGTCGGTGAGCGTTCTTCTTATGGGTGGTCCAGGGCCGGCTGCACTAGGCAGGCGCCAAGCAAGGTGCGGGACCCGAATGTCGTAAGCAAATGGAGACGAGAAACGGGTGCAAAACTTCAACCCGACGGTGATAGACAACATCTATAGGCTCGATGTCTACACGCGCTGGATTTCACTATTGCGAGACGTACGTACCGGGATGCCGTCGTGCCGTACTCGCTGCACTTTGCGGTGCCGTGCTGAATCGCATCGGCAAGATTTTAAAAAACTAGGATGTGTGTGTGCGTGTGCGTGTGTGTGCGTGTGTGCGTGTGTGTGTGTGTGTGTGTGCGTGTGTGTGCGTGTGTGTGCGTGTGTGTGTGTGTGTGTGTGTGTGTGTGTGTGTGTGTGCATGTATGCCGCGCGGCGTTCTTAGGGCTTGCAGAGGGGCGGCAGGGAGAGGCCGAGCGGAGCTTGTCATAGCTCTGTGGAGAGTGTCCCGGAAGCCGTACGTAGCCGTACGTAGCCGTACGTAGCCGTACGTGGGCGAGCTCGGTGGACTGCGCTGCAACAGGGTGCGTGATTTGTAACACCACACCACCACCAGCCCTGTGTGTGTTAAGGTCGCGGGTAATGTACGAACACTGCCGTACAAACAGGTTATCTTGTTGTTCCCCTGAACCTGCTGCGGTGGCGAAGGCCCGTGGCCCACATGCCCCCCCTCCTGCGGCTCGATGGCACATCACCGGGGGGGTTAGGGGCAGCTCATCAACGCGCACCTGCAGCTCAAAGTCTGCGATCAGCCAGCAGGGCAGGGCAAGGGCTTCGTTCTGTGGCAGCTGGCTGAGAGTTTTCCCGTCGTTTGCCATAAATGATATAATAAATCTTGTTGCTCCTTTACATATCCTAGTTATTCTTGGTTGGTTGGCTCAGCTGTTAGTGTCTGAGCCCCTTCATGTCTATCTATGTCCATGTCTATATCTGGTACGGATGCATCTCGCGGGCACCGCGGGACGGGGCTAGCATGCTTGTCGGTGTGGCTGCATATACATACATATATACATACATATATATAATGGTGTCGCTGGGATTTGCGGCGGGCGGCGACCTGGCTGTCTGACCTGCTCGTTAGCAGCTGGTCATTTGCAGCCACAGATGGATGGTTGCCTGGTTAACTGGCTGGGCTATAGCTGTGGCCGGTAGGCTGGCCTGGCTTGGGAGTCAGCCGCTCATGGAACGGAGTTTTGATTGTATGAGCACTAGCTGCGCGAGTGAATAGAGACTGCAACTAGTACCCGTCCAAAACTGCTTACTCGCCATACATGTGCTAGGTATGTATATCTGTCGGCTTGCTGCGGCGGCGCCCTGTTAGCTTTCTGTTAGTCGTGACGGTTGGCCCCGGTTGGCCCCCCCCACCACCACCAATGCGGTCGGTTGCCAAATAACTTGTTCACATATTAGACAGTCCGCCTGCCTTGCTTAAAGCACAACTGCTTCAGTCATATTGATGAAGTATGGCTGGCAAAGCTGCTAATAAGCTAATTGGTTGGCTAGAACACGGTGCGATAGAATTTCCGGTCCTGGACATGTAGCTGGAAGCAAATGGCAGCTGGCTCCAGCAACCATGGGTGGGATTCTCTATGTGCACCTTACTCACCTTATTACAGGCGCGTTTTTTTTGGATTGCTGCGCACTAACCGGCAAGCCATTAGTTGCAGCGCACATAAATGCTGAAGCGCAACCAGGGGTGCGCCGCTTCTTAAGCGTGCTGGATAGGAATATCTATGGTGGCGGCGGGTGAGAGAGGGAGTGCACATCATCATCTCGACGGGATGACGATGCGAAGGCACAAATTTCGCCGTGCGGTGCCTTCCTTGTGCATTATGGAAGTTGCTGAATGCAGTTGATTAGTTGTTAGTTGTTAGTTGAGCAGGGGAGAGCTACAGAGCGCATGCCTAGCCTGCTCGGCAGTCGCTCGCTCGATGTACGACGATGCACATGCCAAAGTACAACACACCTTTGAACATAGAATGAAACTAATAATGGGCAGTGTCATGCACGCGGCGTGTTGAAAGGGAGCATGCACATTACATGTGTGTGTGTATGTATGTGTATGTGTGTGTATGTGTGTGTATGTGTGTGTATGTGTGTGTATGTGTGTGTATGTGTGTGTATGTGTGTGTATGTGTGTGT